GCTCCAGTCCGACTCAGACACCAGCAAGGTGGAGGTGGAGTACTGGTTTGGGCTGGTATCATCAAAGATGAGCTTGTGGGGCCTTTTCGGGTTGAGGATGGAGTCAAGCTCAACTCCCAGTCCTACTGCCAGTTCCTGGAAGACACCTTCTTCAAGCAGTGGTACAGGAAGAAGTCTGCATCCTTCAAGAAAAAGATGATTTTCATGCAGGACAATGCTCCATCACACGCGTCCAAGTACTCCACAGTGTGGCTGGCAAGAAAGGGTATAAAAGAAGAAAATCTAATGACATGGCCTCCTTGTTCACCTGATCTGAACCCCATTGAGAACCTGTGGTCCATCATCAAATGTGAGATTTACAAGGAGGGAAAACAGTACACCTCTCTGAACAGTGTCTGGGAGGCTGTGGTTGCTGCTGCACGCAATGTTGATGGTGAACAGATCAAAACACTGACAGAATCCATGGATGGCAGGCTTTTGAGTGTCCTTGCAAAGAAAGGTGGCTATATTGGTCACTGATTTGTTTTTGTTTTGTTTTGAATGTCAGAAATGTATATTTGTGAATGTTGAGATGTTATATTGGTTTCACTGGTAATAATAAATAATTGAAATGGGTATATATTTGTTTTTGTTAAGTTGCCTAATAATTATGCACAGTAATAGTCACCTGCACACACAGATATCCCCCTAACATAGCTATAACTAAAAACAAACTAAAACTACTTCCAAAAATATTCAGCTTTGATATTAATGAGTTTTTTGGGTTCATTGAGAACATGGTTGTTGTTCAATAATAAAATTAATCCTCAAAAATACAACTTGCCTAATAATTCTGCACTCCCTGTATATTTTTATATATATATATATATATATATATATATATATATAGGCAATTGAAATAATTGGCTGCACTCTCGGATTTCCTGAAAATTTAACTTTTATTGAAATATTTAAGAGAAGATCAATGTTTCAGTCCCTCTTGTGAACTTTCATCATGATCCTGATGCAAGTCCACAAGAGGGACTGAAACGTTGATCTTCTCTTAAATATTTCAATAAAAGTAAAATTTTAAGGAAATCCGAGAGTGCAGCCAACTATTTCAATTGCCTATATATATACTGGATACTGGAGCCCTGGTGATGCAACAGTGTATATATATATATATATATATATATATATATATATATATATATATATTTTATTGATACAGTTCTTCTTCTAATTCAAAATATTAGTTCTTTTAGGGTAATTAAATTATACAGTAAAGCATACTCACACACAGACAGACAATCTTACTAATGCACACAAATAGGCTCATTGACAGACAATGACACACACAGACAAGGTTACTGGCACACACACAAATTTAGTACAGACAAACTCTGATACACACACACAAGCTTACTATAGACAAGCTCACTGTCACACACACACGCTCACTACAGACAAGCTCACTGATGCGCACACACTCTCCCTACAGACAAGCCCATTAACGCACACGCTCCCTACAGAAGAGCTCACTAACACACAGATTCACTACAGACAAGCTCACTGACACACACATGCTCACTACAGACAAGCTCACTGACACACATATGGTCACCACAGAAAAGCTCACGATCACACTCATGCTTACTACAGACAAGCTCACTGTACACCCATGCTCCTTACAGACAAGCTCACTAACACACACCCATGCTCCTTACAGACAAGCTCACTAACACACACACACATATGATCCCTACAGACAAGCTCACTGACACACATACAAGCTCACTCACTAGCAGGCACACACACACACAAACTCACTAGCAGGCACACACACACACAGAGACTCCCTCACTAGCAGATGCACGCACACACACACACAGAGGCAGACAGTCACTGACACCCAGGCAGACAGCCACACACACACACGCAGACAGTCACACACAGGCAGACAGTCACGCACACACAGAGAGTGACACACAGACAGTCACACACAGTCACACAGTCACACACTCAGTCAGACTGTCACACACTCACACAGACAGTCACACACTCACAGTCACACACTCAGTCAGACAGTCACACACTCACACAGACAGTCACACACGCACACAGACAGTCACACACACAGTCACACACTCACACAGACAGTCTCACACTCACAGGCAGTCACACACAGACAGTCACACACTCACACAGACAGTCACACACTCACACAGGCAGTCACACACAGACTGTCACACACTCACACAGACTATCACACACACAGACTGTCACACACACAGACTGTCACACACAGACAGTCACACACTCACACAGACAGTCACACACTCACACAGGCACACAGACAGTCACACACTCACAGGCAGTCACACACTCACACAGAGACAGTCACACACTCACAGACAGTCACACACTCACAGACAGTCACACTGACCTGCCTTCTTACCTCCTGCTTGGAGCTCCTGGAGGCTGGTTGTTGGGGAAGCAGGGACTCCTTCCTGCTTCCCATGCTGCAGTCAGCCAGGCCCCCGCCGCATAGTATCCGCCGCACGCTAAGCCCCGCCCCCGCAAGCTCGGCCCCCGCCGCAAATTTAAAAAAAAAAAAATTTATGATCCCGGGCGGCCATGTGTGAGTTGTGCCGGCCGCCTGGCTCCCCCTGCTCCCATGGGGCTCTGTGCGGCCGCACAGCTCACACATAGCCCGCCAGGATTACAGGGCTGTCAGACCAGCCCCAGGTGCCGCGGCCCACCGGGAAATTTCCCGGTATCCCGGTGGGCCAGTCCGGCCCTGGCTTCCAAATGAAAGTGTCACACCTGGAATTGACTCCAGTCTTTTTACCTTCTTAACTGATGAAGAAATAACGAAGGAATAGCCCACACCTGTCCATGAAACAGCTTCTGAGTCAGTTGTCCAATTACCTTTGGTGCCTTGAACAAGAAGGGGCCACATATTAAAGAGCTGTAATTCCTAAACCCTTCCTCTGATTTGGATGTGAATACCCTCAAATTAAAGCTGAGAGACTGCACTTTTGGCACATATGCATTATTTAACTTTGGTAAACAGCAGAAATAACAAAACTAAAGGTAGGAATGTCATAAACTAAAGGTAGGAATGTGTTCTTCCTGCAGTTCTTCTGGTGTCGGAGACGTGACCGATCTCTCGGCTTGCAGGTGACTTGAATTGACTATTGTCTGGATCACTCTCCCCCTCTCGGACTGCTGGGAGTTATCCCGATCCCAGCTGGACTCAATCTGCAAAGTCCTGCATAGTAAAGTTGCTCGTTTCCTTACATCCCTGGCACAAGGCTGAGTCAAGCAAGCAGCAAGATGGCAGGTGCAGACATTCGGACACCAGAGAACTTGGCACCAAAACCAACCTGCCCGACTGGCTCCACTCTTCCATCCATAGCTAAACTGGGGGTGATCTTTGACTGCTTCTGGGTGAAGCAGGAGTGTCGCATGCAGCCAGCGGCTCCTGGTTTTCAGCCTGCAGAGGAAGATCGGAGGTACTGCAGGAAAATCCCAGAGAGGCCCCTTCCGGCAAAGCAGCTGATGCTTGCCCATCTTGCCTGAAAGCCATTCAGGGGTGACCCCAGTACACCACCCATGTATGTAGAGATCCATTTGACGCCACAGTGGATGAAGAAATAGGGACTTTTGCAGTCTCCCAGCAGGGAAGGACTTGGGCTTAGAGAATCTCAGAGTCTGTGGGCATGTGGTATCGGCTCTTGGACAGGCCTGGGGCTGGAGGGGCGCTACACCCGGGCTCAACTACGTGGACTTAGTTGCTATCCACAGACCTAAACCAGTCAAGGGGTTGGTTGACTGTCCTTATTTATGTGGCCTATATACCAGGCACTGTGCCCCTGCTCTTACAGCAATTGTCAACTTTTTCTTTTTGAAACATGGATGTATCTTTATTACATAGTTACATGGGCTGAAAAGAGACACGTGTCCATCAAGTTCAGCCTTTCTCACATCTGTTCTTGCTGTTGTATGTTATGATTCCAGCGGTACAAGCATATTCCCAACATTATAATAAGCACGTTCATAATCCCATATTTTATTTTCTTATGTTATCTTTTATTCTTAATTGTGCTGTTAGATAGTCCAGTTTGAATTGTGTGTCCTTTTATTATGCTCATCCATTAACATCGACTAGTTTAACCAGTTCTTTACTCAGTTGAGCCTTATGACAGGATAATGGGTATCACACCAGTTGTTTAAGTCTTATTATATTACCTCGTACCTCGTACTCCAAGATTGGTTTAGCTGCATTACCCATGTCAATGCTAATGATGGGATGACTGGCTTGCATTATTTACTGATTTGGTTAGCAGCATGATATAACTGTTCACTATTTGTATTGCTTATTTTACTCAAGACGTATTTTATTTATTTGTTTTTTCTTTTCTTAACGTTTACCTAACTGTTCCATCCTACAACATCAAGTTTCTTTTCACATACACCTACTAACAGGCACCATCTTACTTCTTTCACAGCTAACTGTTGCCTACACTTGCCTGTAATTCTTCCACTTACGATGACATATTTATTACATGTTGATTCTCTTGTATTACAATGCAAAAATGTGTGATAACCTAGCTTGTTTTGACAACATTGTCAGATTTATGCTCGCGTATTTAGGATATTGTCCTATTAATGCTAGTCATGTAATATTTCCACCCAAAATGTCATTGACAAAAAAATAATGTGTCAAAATACCTATTGGTACATAACCTGCGATGCCTACTTTACATAAATATATACTTTTGTGTGACAAATTTTGTTTTCTCTGTCTCTTTAAGTACTAAACAAGTAAGCTGAAGCTATCTCCCCCCCCCTTGTTAGAATGTCTGGTATAGTAAAACCGCTCACACAGTAAGCAGAGCTCATGTAAGCACCCATTCTAGAACCTCACCATAGCGACGCTCTGCGAGATCACAGCCAGGACTACATTTCCCGGCATTCCCCGGGCGGACGGGGGCAGGCACGTGGCTTCCTGTGCGGCCTGTCTCCCCCCTCTCTCTAGCTCTCGCGCGCGCTTAGCAAGCGGCGGCGGGACTGTCACTGCGGACTACATTTCCCATAGCCCTGAGCGTCCATCCCGCCTCTAGCCTCTGAGCTCCCGCCTCTCTCTCTCTCTCTCGCTCTCTCTATCTCTCTGTCCGCCGCCGCCTCCTCCTCCGCGCGCTTCAGTTTCCTGTGTCCGCTGCCGGGGAGAACCGTTGGAGTCCATCATGTCGGGTGACGATGAACAGCAGGAGCAGACCATCGCCGAGGACCTGGTGGTCACCAAGTACAAGATGGGGGGCGACATCGCGAACAGTAAGAGCCAGCGGCGGGGACACACACACACACACACGGTTACCGGGTGAGGAGAGCCGGCAGGCAGAGCTGGGGAGTGCCAGGCCCGAGACCTTCGGCCAGGATAGTATGGAGCGGCTCTCCGGCTTTATTATACTGTCTGACCTGTCAATCACACGGGACACTTAACCCCCTGCCTGCCGCTGCTCTGACATGAAGTGCTGGGAATAGGGGGTTTAATGGCAGTGGGGGAGGGGATCGCACGTGTCCCGTCTGCCATGTGCCTCCCCGGCACCCTTACACTCCACAGGCCCTGGCACCCACGTGTCTGCAGGCTCCTCTGTACGGTGTGTGTGAGAGCAGCAAGTGCTCTGTGCGGAATATGGGGGGAGACAGGGCTGTCACACAATCTAATAAGTTATATAGTTTGTAAGAATATAGGTTAATGCAGGTCATTAAGCAGTCAGTATCTTTCAATCTACTACAACTCAGGAAGGGCCTTCTTCTCGTCAAAGCAGTAATGAACATTCTGTTGGAAAATAATACATTGACCATATGTCTTGTGTGTGTGTGTGTGTGTGTGTAAAAAAAAAAATTAAATAAGTGTGTGTGTGTACACACACTAATACGAGGGGGAAAAAACTATTAAACTGCAGAAGCATTTCTGCATATTTGTTAGGGTATCCATGCATTACTTTGTGACATTTTTGAAGGTCTTCTGTCATTTTTATAATTTTAAAGTATACACTAACAAATTGCAATGAGTAAAACAGAATTCTGCTAGTTACAAGATAGTTACAAGAAATGTATTTGTTTATTGTCTAAAAGTACACATTCTAGTAGTCTTCCAGCAGCGCATCTAATTTTATTTTAATTTTTTTTAAGCATATGGTGTTTTACCTATATTTCTTCCAAATTTCAGAACATATTCTTGACATTTACAGAAAAGTCACTCTTGTGCTCATTAGGTTGTACCTGTCATATGCACATAGGTTTAGTCTATATGTTAAATCTTTATACAGATCAAAATAAGCCTTATTTTTTGTTTTTGAAGTAAATTATATTTTTCATCTTGGTGTGTGTAAGCCTGAAGATTCACAGAGTCTTTAAAATGTATTGAGTAAAAATTAATAAACCAGAACAAATCAAATTAAAAAAATTCAACCTCCCTACTACTCTAGTTTAGGATGTTAGGAGGTTCATGCTTTTGTGGCCTTTTTGAAACAAATGATTGCTGCAAAAAACTTGCAGATAACTTGTGATTAGATGACTCAAGACAAGGTGCTACAGCAGTTAAAGAAAAATAATGTAAATAAAGCTCCGGAACCTGATGGTATTCACCCACGATAACTTAAGGAGCTAAATGGGGAAATAAGTGAACCTCTGTATTTAATCTTTTGTTTCAGGTATTGTACTGGAGGAAGGCAGATGTCGTTCCTATATTTAAAAAGGGTTCAAAATCCTTGTCTGGAAATTATAGAACTGTGAGCTTAAAGGGACTCTCCAGTGCCAGGAAAACATATCCATTTTTCTGGCACTACAGTGCCTCCCACCCCCATGCCATATTGCTGAAGGGATTAAAAGCCCTTCAGGATAGAGTACAACGAGTTATCATTAAAGGACCACTATAGTGCCAGGAAAACATACTCGTTTTCCTGGCACTATAGTGCCCTGAGGGTGCCCCCACCCTCAGGGTCCCCCTCCCGCCCGGCTCTGAATGGGGGAAAGGGGTTAAAACTTACCTTTTTCCAGCGCTGGGCGGGCAGCTCTCCTCCTCCGATCCTCCTTCTCTCCTCCCCGTCGGCTGAATGCGCACGCGCGGCAAGAGCTGCGCGCATTCAGCCAGTCACATAGGAAAGCATTCATAATGCTTTCCTATGGACGCTGGCGTGCTCTCACTGTGAAAATCACAGTGAGAAGCATGCAAGCGCCTCTAGTGGCTGTCAATGAGACAGCCACTAGAAGAAATAGGGGAAGGCTTAACCCATTCACAAACATAGCAGTTTCTCTGAAACTGCTATGTTTATGAAAAAATGGGTTAACCCTAGCTGGACCTGGCACCCAGACCACTTCATTAAGCTGAAGTGGTCTGGGTGCCTAGAGTGGTCCTTTAATGGTAAATTTTCAGGCTGGACAGAAGTGGTGTCCCTCAGGGTTCTGTTTTGGGACCGCTTCTATTTAACATATTTATAAATGATCTTACAATAGGCATTGAAAGCCATGTTTCATTGTTTACAGATGACACAAAACTTTGTAAAGTAATACAATGTGAGTAGAATATTGTTTTGCTGCAGAGGGATTTAGATAGATTGGGGGACTGGGCACTAAAATGGCAGATTACATTTTATGTAGAGAAATGTAAAGTTATGCACTTTAGGGTCAAGAATGCACAAGCAATTTACACCCTAAATGGTTGTGAATTAGGGATAACCACACACGAGAAGGATTTGGGAATTGTTACAGACAACAAATTAGGCAACAATATGCAATGTCAATCTGCAGTTGCTAAGGCCAGTAAGGTTTTGTCATGTATAAATAGGGGCATAAATTCTCGCGATGAAAATATAATTTTGCCTCTTTATAAATCACTGGTAAGACCACACCATGAATATGCTGTGCAATTTTAGGCACCTGTTCTAAAGAAGGATATCATGGCACTAGAAAAAGTGCAGAGACAAGCTACAAAATTGATAAAAGGAATGGAGCACTTTAATTATGAAGAGGGGATATGATAACATTATACAAATATATTTGGGTCCAGTACAAACAATTATCTTGGAATCTATTCATAAATAGGGCTATAAATAGGACACAAGGTCACGTTTAGGCTGGAAGAAAGGAGATTTCATCTAAGGCTGGAGAAAAGTAAATGGCTGAAAGGGCGCCCTGAGGGTAGAGGGGAACTAATGACCCTATAGTGCCTAGAAAATGAGTTTGTTTTCCTGTCACTATAGTGGTCCTTTAAGTGTCTTATATCTGAAACATTTTACAAAAATCACTACCACTGCAAGCTTTCACAGATGTTAAAAGAGGTAGTTTTACTTCGTTCTACCAGTCCTAGAAATGCATGCTAATATTACACTTCTCACCTCCTATAGTCCCCTTCACAACTTACTGTGAAGAAGTCAAAGCTGCGGCTATATCTCAATTCCCAAACATATCAATTAAGCTGCCAGGCATCAGCATTGAGGCCAGTGTGAAGGTATTGGAAGCACCAATAGTTTAGTGAAACAAGGGGAAAATATATTGACAGTAAATAGGGAAAGCGGTTAGGCAATTGCCAGAGGCCTGATGAATGAAGTACACTTTTAACCATTTGGGTCATGGTTACGAATTGCTAGTTTATATACTGCAGCAGAGTGTCAGAATAGGCAAACATTGCCAACCTGGGCATCTTAAAATTTCATTCAGTTAAAAAATGAGAGCTCCACTATTGGCAATAACATTCAAAATACCTTGTTTTTAAAATAAATAAATATATACTTTATATTTATTCCTTCATACAGAAACTGCTAGCTAGTAGCCTATACATTTTGAATACAAAAAAGAGAATTGAAAAGCTAAGCTTTGCTTCTCGAAATGAAACCACCCAGCATTGTCTTACTGAATGAAAATTGTTCCAGCAGTACTGTTCCACTGAACTAGTCTGGTTTTCAATGACTGCTTCCATAAGTGAATGAATATGCGTTTACAGTTGCATTTCTAGGAACCTAAACCAGTCTTTTCCCTTGCTTTAATTATAGACTGAAATGGTGACTTCAAAGGGGTGGATTGAGTTTGTTGTTTGGGCAATAGTCATGCAGTTAATTGTTACAGTGCATAATAAAAAATGTATTTCACTCCCTTGAAATTACCGTCTATTGTAAACTAAACCTGTTCAGATTCAAACTACCAATTTAACAATCACTGATCAGTCCACTCGATCTAGAGTATGGTTCTAGAGCAAATCTAAGTTGTTGTTGTGGGTTTTTTTTTTTTTTTAATATATATATCTGTTGACTTTTCTCTCTCACAGGGGTTCTCCGTGCCCTGGTGGATGCAGCAACACCTGATGCTTCAATCTTGAGTCTTTGTGAAAAGGGGGATAACCTGATCATGGAGGAAACTGGCAAAATCTTCAAGAAGGAGAAGGAAATAAAAAAAGGTACAATCTTTTGAGCAGCAACTTTGGATGTTTATGAAATATGCCATACCAATGTTGAGTGTGCCTAAAGCACAAAGTCTGTCTTGGTATCACCTAATCCTTCCATCTGTGACATTGATAGGCCATCCAGGCTTTTCCTTTGAGGAATAGAATAAATCCTGATACGGTTTCTAATCTACCGTACCTGGATAAGAAGGCTAAAGAATCCGAGTAACAAAAGGCCTTTGTGATGTAGCAATTTTATACCTAAAAAAAAAAAATGAAGTGCTAGAGCAGACAAGAATAATTTCTGCTTTGACAGCTGGGATAATTGCCAAGTGATTCCTTGTACCATGATGTCGTAACATTTGGTACCAACATTTAAAAGGGTTGTTTTTATATAATATATTTATATATGCATATATGATATCACTTACACTTTATCACAGAGCATTTACTGGCTTATTGTTGTGGTTTTTTTTTTTTTTTTAATTTAAAGGATTACTGCGGGCACCATTAAAACTTAATTGCAATTAGGCTGTTATGGTACATCAGGCTTAAGGCACTATCTTACTTTAAAGGGACGCTACACTGCTAAATATGACAATTAGTGATCTGCTAATTAGATATACCCCCAATGAAAGCATGCATGCATTTAAAAGGACACTATAGTCACCAAAGGATATTTCTGCATATGGCAGTTTTTCTGTTGTGTATAGTCGGTCCTTGCAGGCTTTGTGCAGTAAATACGGTCTTTTCTGCATTGAGACACTGAAGTTTGTTCGGAGATGCATTGATTCAATGCGTCTCTATGAGAAGATGCTGATTGGCCAGGGTGGCATTTGGCTCCTCTCCTGGCCCGCCTCCTTGGTTTAGATCATCAATCTTGGTCAAACCAATGCTTTCCTATGGTAAATAATTGTGATTGGCTGAGATTATCACTTCTGATAATGTCAGCCACGAAGGCATATATGAGGCCGAGTCCACACCGGTAGACTGCAACAAAGGTAAGATTTTACTAGATTTTATAGAATACTATAAGGTTAAGAACATGTTTGTGTTCTTAACCTTATAGTATTCTTTTTATTAGGTGCTTTTTTTTTTTCTTTTTCTTTTTTTTACATTGGGAGAATATCTAAAAACAGCTTGCAAATGTCCTCCCCCTTTTTCCCAGCACATACTTTATGCAGGTGTCCAATCACATACTGCCTTGTGCATCTCAATGAAAAGTCTTTGCAATGCAAGTGCTCTGTGCAATTGTCTGCCTCTTGAGTATAGCTCCACTGAGCTAAACAACCAGGAAGTAACAGGACCGTTTGTCTACTTAAAAAGCAAGGGAGTGTAACAAGGTTAATTTAAAATAGTGCCAATTGCTTTTGTAATATGCACTTTTCGTAAAATGAAAAAGCATTTCAGCAAACTAAAGTGCCCTAGGTGTCCGTTAAGGGGTTAAACCATTGACTAATAAATTTCAGGTAAAAGGCAGTGTTTACATTGCAGCCTAGTTACACCTCTAGTAGCAGTCACTTAGATGTATGTGTTTGAATTCCTGACACTGTAGTGTTCCTTTAAAGAAGCACTGTTCCTTATGAGGTGACTCATATGCTGGTAGTCTAGGTACTGGGTTGACTACAGCTGGCACTTATGAACTCTCTTACATGCACAATGCTACAAAATGGGGTCTATGGAAGAGACCCTGTGATTTTACATAGATAAAATTGAGTTTGTGCAATAAGATGCCATAAGCATCTATTGAACAAGATAATTCCTGTTCCTGTCAGCCCAATGTCTGATGGGAGGTTTACATGCTGTTGAGGAAGCTTTTACATTTGCCAAAGATTGACGCATAAAGTAGTCCCTACAAAGCGAACAATAACTTTTTCTTGTAAGGAATATTTATTTATGAATATCTCAAAAGTGGCGATGTTGCTCTAATATTGATGATGCTTTAGGCACCATCATCACTTCAGTTCATAGGAGTCTCCCGCATCCCTGTCAAACCATTATCTTAAATTTCACCAGGATGCAGAGTGCCCTGGCACTCAGTAAGTGTATGTCGTAGATGGAAAGTAGCTGTGCCTTATGCCGTACTTTGTAGGTAGGCAGAGAAGACAGCTATTTGATTGTAAACTGACACTGGTATGGCACTTTCCATCTTCACAATGCAGTCTGGGGGCAAAGCTGCATGCTCTGAGGGACCCTGCTTCTCTTTAAAAAGGTAAAATAGCTGTTTGACTTGCGTGACTAACGTGATGCCTGTGTACTCCAGGCAACATGACAAATTTGATGAGGTTGTGTTGCCTATGGTGTCCCTTTAAGTATTCAGTTATGAGCCAGTTGGTGTATTGATTGCCAACCCCATAATTTACAGAAATGAAATCTCTGAATTGCAGGTGTGAATCTGACCCTCCTCCTGTTTGGTTTGATTTGTGACTTAAAGGGATACTCCAGGCACCCAGACCACTTCTGCCCATTGGAGTGGTCTGGGTGCCAACTCCAACTACCTTTTAACCCTGCAAGTGTAATTATTGCAGTTTTCATACTAGACTGCCACTAGAGGACACTTCAATGTTCATAGAACACGAAAAGTGGTTTAAAACGACGCTGGACATCCTCACGCTATGTGAGGACCTCCGGCGTCGCCGAAATCCCAATTGGAAAGCATTATTCAATGCTTTGCTATGGGGAGGTCTAATAAGCGTGCGCAGCCATTGCCGTGCATGCGCATTAGGTCTACCTCGCCGACGGCCGCGCATGCACAGTATGTCTCTCCCCCTGGCTGGCGTAGGTGGGAGGCTGACCCAGCGCCGAGAGACAAGTTGAAAGCTCAGTGTAGGACACACCTGAGGGGGTCTACCTTGATGTTGGCAGGCGGGCATTCCCTCCCATGACCATTGGGGTAACTGAATAACCTCCATTTGCTTTTTACTGTATGTATTGGGGCTGATGTGTACTGTGGTCATTGCTGCCACGCAGGACTTGTTTTGTTTTTTTGTATTTGATTTGTTACTTGACTAACATTTACAGTGACTTTTAAGAGGGGGAAAAGATGTTTAAAATTATTTCTTTTTTTTCTTTTTTTTTCTTCATTTCAGGAATTGCCTTCCCCACTTGTATATCTGTAAATAACACTGTGTGTCACTTCTCCCCCTTGAAGAGTGACCAAGATTATCTTCTGAAAGATGGGGATCTGGTAAAGATGTACGTAAGCGTTAACAATATTTTCTAACAAAAAGTATCGGTATGTGCATGTGGTGGAGTCTTGTTCCAAATCAAAGCAATTATACTTGCATTTATTTTCTTCTCTTTGATGTAAAAACAGTATAAATCTGAGGTCAATAAAGTGGCTTTATCTCAATAAAGGGGCTTTACACACCACCATGACTAAAGCGTATTGTGATTATGTCAAACTGTTTAAATGGTTTGCTACAAACCTGTTTTTTCCGTTGCTTGTTGCAGGCCCTCTTTTCACTGTATTACTCATGAAGTATAGCATCCGTGTTATTATGAATTTTGTTGAAATTTGGGTGCCAATGATTACCTGAGCTTGTGAGCTGACTCTCAACTTTCCAATGCTTTCAATATTTAGACTAATTTGATATTTCTAGTACGGAAGTATAGCTTCCATGTTAGCAAAATGGCAATTAAGGGGGCTAGCCATGGAATCCTGGAGGGCCATTAGTGTTGCTAAAAATGGTTTGACATATAACCTTCTGGACAGTGTGAATGGCCCCCTAGTTTCATAACCCCTACGATGGGCTGTAGTGGTTATGTCGCTTAGAGCACACCTTTAATATGATGTGACTTTCATTTTTACTTGCATCTTTAGGACTATAGAAGCAAAAGTTAAAATTCTGTTATCTGTAGTAAAACCAGTATATATCTTAGTATATGCTTATTGTATCACATTTGATAATGAAGGAATTCTATTTGTGTTAAAATGTTACATCTCTTAAAAGAATGCATTGTTGTATTTTTAGACGAACTGCAATACTTCTATTGAAACGTGATTTCAAAAAGCTTTGCATTTAACCCAAAAATAGTGATTATATGTTCAATAATATATATTGAAGTTAATCATATCTGGTAGGCCTTCCTCAGAAACCCTGCATGAGCTGGACACACGTAATGTGGATTTTGGAGGTCTTTGGGTTTAATTCATACAGTTGTGTGTGTGATAGAGATATAGATATATATAGATAGATAGATAGATATAGAGATAGATAGATATAGATATAGATATATATACATATATATCTATATCTCTCTATCTCTCTCTATATATATATCTATCTCTCTCTCTATATATATATATATATATATATCTATATATATATCTATATATCTATATCTCTCTTTATCACACACACACTTTGTATGCAATGTCATCTCGGTTGAAGATCAGCATTTGTTTTTGTTTTTTAGCTTTGAACAGTCTGGTTTCATAGTGGTGCATTTGTAAGTTATATCTTTGATACGTTTTTCACCATATGGTTTGAATTGCAGAGACTTGGGAGTCCATGTTGATGGGTTCATCTCTAATGTTGCACACAGTCTTGTTGTCGGTGCTTCCAAAGTAAGGCTAATATTTATTTGTGATGTTTCCATAAATTGTTTCTACATTGATGTCTGCAACCCTCTTAAAGCTAGTATGCTGAGCATTGTCCTCAGTCGTTCAATATCTATTACTGAGAAACCTTCTCTCATTGTATGTATAAATAGGGTCATAAATTCTCGAGATGAAAATATAATTTTGTCTCTTTTTATAAATTGATGGTAAGACCACACCTTGAATATGCTGTGCAATTTTGGGCACCTTTTCTAAAGAAGGATATCATGCACTAGAAAAAGTGCAGAGGCGGGCTACAAAATTTATAAAAGGAATGGAGCACTTTAGTTATGAAGAAAGGTTAAAATATTTAAATCTCTTTAGTTTGGAGAAACGGTGCCTCGGAGGGGATATGATAACATTATACAAATATATTCTGGGCCAGTCCAAACCATTAACTGGAAATTTATTCATAAATAGGGCTATACATAGGACACGAGGTCCCACATTTAGGCTGGAAGAAAGGACATTTAATCTATATCAAAGGAAAGGTGTGTTTTTTTTTTTTGTAAGAACTATAACGATATGGAATTCTCTGCCTGAAGAGGTGGTTTTATCAGTCCATACAGATGATTAAACATCAATTGGATAAATACTTGCAAAAACATAACATACAGGGATATCTTTTCTAATTAGTGGGATAATAGCTGCTTGATCCATGGAGATATCTGACTATTTTTGGGTCAAGAAAGAATTTTTCCTAGTTTGTTGAAAATCGTGAAGCGCTGCAGACTGGGTTTTTTGTCTTCAAAAACATATGCGAGGAAGGCTGAACTTGATGGACACAGGTCTCTTTTCAGCTATGTAACTATATGTATCCAAACTGAATATTCTCAACCAATAAATTAAGTCCAGAAACGGACAAGATTTGGATATTCTATTTATTTTTTGTTTCAAAGGAAAACTTCCACTATACATTTATCAGAAGAGGAGGCTAGAGAGCTTGCAGTGGCCATCACAATATATTTACTAATTTGGCTGGGAAATATTCCAAAAGTAGCAGTAAGCTAAATTACTTTCTACCCAATGTGCTAAATTGATCAAGTAGAGAGATCATTGGGTGAACATTTACCCTGTGTCTTAGATAAAGATGTGCAGTTCAGTATACGCCTAATTGATTAAAGATCATATTTAATGGAAAATAACACTGCACATTCCAATTGATCTGTACCATTTTCAAACACTTACCCTACAGTATGTGAGGCTGTGCAATATTTGAATTTTCAGTTAATTGGCACTTTATTAATGCAGGATTCCCCTGTGACTGGACGCAAAGCGGATGTAATTAAAGCAGCTCATCTATGCGCTGAAGCAGCCCTACGTCTTGTAAAGCCAGGAAACCAGGTAAAAAAAAAAAGGTCTACTGTACCTAACTGCATATTTTAAACGTAAGTTGATTAGGCAATAACATTTAACTCAAGATGACAGCTTAAAATTGTACTTTTAAAACATGTCATTATATGTGACTCAGAAATTATGCAATCTCAATACCATTCTCTCACACTTCATTACTAGTTTACACCTGCTATTTATTTGAACTAAATAATCAGCTCCCATCTGCTATATTTTGGCAGGGACAACTTATGTGTTTTTATTTAAATTTCATTTTTTTTTTGCTCATCTCGGTAGGTTGAGGTTATAGTCACCTGGAGCGTAGGCAACAGATTATTTGTCAGAGTAACAAAGCTTTTGTGCGCTTGAGTAAATTACACTACATTAAGGTGCAAAACATTTACCTTAATATGAGTTGATTGATTTTCAATCAGAGTTGTATAATAATCACCAAGTTGGCAAGAATCATTGTAAATGCTACCTGTTTTCATATGTTAAATCCTTTAATCCCCATTCCTACTGAATGATTGATGGCCATTATTTGTACAAGTCATTGTCTTTTATGTACTGTTTTTGCATAAAAAAAGTTATTGGTAAACAGAACATTTTGATTATTTAAGTAAACAATTCCCTTGCCAATTCTCCATTTAGTTAATGAACAGCATTTGTTTGTTAATGTTGTCCAAGCTCAGCAACTAGGAGTTTATTTTAAGGATGTATGTGAATTCGGGTAGCAGTCTGTGAGGAGAAATTGGAACAAGTACTGCTGGGTTGTCCTAGGGAAGAGCCATAAAAACCTAGAACATGAAAGTCCGTTCTCAGTAGTTTTTAAGTAAGGATCACTTTGAGCACCATAACCACTATACTGCAGGAGGGTGCATTGGCACACCTATGGTAAGTTGTCAAACAGTTTGACTACTTACACTGGAAGGTTGCTAGGTTACATTTAACACACATTACAGAGGGCTGTAGTGGTTATGGTGCTTGGAGTGTTCCTCTAAACCTCTCTAGAAAGGACATGTGAGGTTGGTAATAAAAACATTGTATTGAAGTTTTAATTTAAAAAAAAAAAAGCAATTTTTTGTTTATTTTTAACATCAGAACTCACAGGTAACTGAAGCATGGAACAAAATTTCACCATCATTTAACTGCACTCCTATTGAAGGTAAGCGTGAATGTGTCCTGGTTACAGCAAGATGTATGTGTTCTATGCATGTGGAGACTTGAGCTTTGCTGTAAAGGAGCAATTGTGTATTAGGAACTAATTCAAATAGCCTGATTCCTGAAGGCATCTCAAATGTAAAATGCAGACGTAACAGGCTATATACAACATTAAATGCACTTATCACTCATTCATACTTTACCAGTGTTACCCTCATCTGAATGAATTCATTTAAAACTTGATTGTATATTGAGATCTGAAACCCAGAGTGCAGCATTTAGGCTAAGATGGCCAGGCTGTGACTAGAATATCCCTATTTAAAACTTTTTGCCTAAATTTTTCCAGGGTTTTTCAATGAACTGTGATTCTGAGTTTATTGAAAAACCCTGCAGACTATATAGTCACAGTAGAATAAGACGTTGTCCCTCATTTGTTGTTGTTTGGTAGTGCTATGAAAATGTACAACCAGAGTTAGACCCTCATTAAATATTGTGTGTTTTGTCAGGTATGCTTTCCCACCAATTAAAGCAGCATGTTATTGATGGAGAAAAGACCATCATTCAAAATCCAACTGACCAGCAAAAGTAAGTTTTCTAGACTTGAGATTTAAGAGCTGACCTGCTGTTAGCAAGTTAATGGATGAGTATGTTTACTACAAACTAAAACTTGATATGTTTATGGAGTTGTATGTATCGATGGGCATTGTATCCAAATTTTCCAAGTTTTGCTAAATAAGTTGTATGCAGTCAAAAACAGCTTATTGTTTCTGCTCTCCTTTGAAATGTTGCACATGCAGAGATTAACCCGTTTGCTGCTGGAGGTGTAAATCCTCCTCCAGCAGTGTCATTAGGTAGACCAGAACAAAGTTCTAGGCTGGTTATTATCAATTCTGTGCAAATTTGGCATCCAAATAATCTAACACTTTCTCTTTAAGTGCACATATGCATGTTGGATGGAGGGACGACCCTTCCTTCTGATAATATATATATATATATATATATATATATATATATATATATATATTACATTACAAATGAGTAAAATAGTAAATTTAAAAAATGCTTTTGCTTATAATATTCTATAACTAGTGCAACTAGAATAAATAAGCAGTCATGGTAGTTTTACAATATTAGTCCTGATGTTAAAATGCCTTATGTCCAAGATTTTAAGCTGGTTACATTAAATTGATATTGTGGTTTTCACAAACGCTTAATTTTCATGGGGAATTTTAGACTTTCTCAATACATTAAGGACCCTGGGTTTGTATTCTACTTAAGCGATTTGTTCAAGTGATACTTGAGTTGTGCCACCATACTCTTCAGTGTCACACTTACAATGCTATGTGTAACTTTAGCTAACCCTAACCATATCCCTGGCTAAAGCATGCCACTGCAGTGATTGTCAACCTGGAGGACATCTGGCAGCACTACTGAACTGGAAAAATAAAGCAACCTTTTAAGAATCCCTGCACAAATAAACACAATGAAAATTGAGAAATGACACTTAATTGAAAAGTAATAATCCTATTTATTAGTAAGATCTTAAAAATATATAGAGAGAAATTGAGCAGCATTGCACAAATAAGTGATTTACAGTGAAAATGCTGTAAGAAGTACCGACTTCATCACACTAAGTCAAGTTACAAGCAAATTGTACAGTGCAAAGTTTTGCCTCAAAGGTCTTCAAAGAACCAGTAGCAACACACCAACTACGCTCTGCCAAGTCAGCTTGATCCACCTCACGCTGTATAGGGCCACAGATGAAACCGGTCATTGGGGTCTGAGCAGATACAAGCTGATCGCCAATCTCCAAAGTGCTCCTATGTCCTCCAAGCCCCACTTAACCATCAACATGTTTTGCTCAATCCACAAACTTCTTAGGGCTTTCACTGACAAGTTTGTGGATTTTATCATGTCATTCTCTCACCTCTCATTTCATTCCCAATAAAATGGATAATAGTCACATCCCTAAAACATTAACTTTTAACCCCTTAAGGACACGTGGCATGTCATGATTCCCTTTTATTCCAGAAGTTTGGTCCTTACGGGGTTAAAGGGGCACACCTGACACTTAAGTACTGTTTATATGAAGTGTCCTTTTTAAAAAAAAAAAAAAATATATATATATATATATATATATATATATATATATCTTTAAATAGAAACTGTCACTTAAAAAAAAAAATTAACCTTGTTACATCCTCCTGGCTTGCAAGTGTGCTCAATTCAGAGCACTGCTACTCTGAGGACTCATGAGGCGGCACTGTGTACAGTACAAAATACCTGTATCTTGACTCCAGCTGTGGTGGGAGTTGTCATTTGCATTGCTAAAAATGTCAGTGTAGTATGACAAAGTAAGAAGTTGTTTGTCTGTGTGTGTATATATCTATCTTTGTGGTTAAGAAATGTATTATTTTTTGTTTACATGTTTGAAACATGTTAATACACTTGAATTTAACTATTTGCACATATTTAACATTTTGTACCTAATATTCTAAAATCCACCATATTATATCTAAGCTGTAAATGAGGTTGTGCTAGTTCACTAGTGATTTCAAATATTATTTTGCCTTTTGCAGGAAAGACCATGAAAAGGTGGAGTTTGAAGTTCATGAGGTTTACGCCGTTGATGTTCTCATTAGCACGGGAGAGGGAAAGGTGAGTTTTCTTAGGCAAGATGAATTCGATATATATTGATATATTATGTATGCATGTTGGATATACACCATACTTACCTGTATAGTGGCTTTAAAGCAATGGTTAATGGGCACCACAATGATTTCTGTTCTGTGAGTAGTTTAGTTGTCCTCTTGCTGCTATATAAAAACATAGCTGAATCAAAATCTTTAACTTTTTGCTGTTCAGTCTGATAGTACTAATATTAATGGAAGGAGCAAAAATGGATCTAAACTATTTAATTTTTATTTTTTAAAGTCCTCCCTGCATAACAGACTGTAACTCAACATTCACATTACATCTATTTTGAGTGTCTTTGCTATCTTTTTCAGACACACTTTTTGTTGAACATGAAGAGCTGCTAAAATGGTGTAAGCTCTACATGATAAATATGTGAGATTGACTCTGATTGTCTAAAGTTTGACTAGTACATTGCTTTTTCATGGAGGAAACAAAATCAAGAACAAGCTATGTGGGTTTAGATAGAAAATAGGATGATCAGATAAATTAACAGTCTCTTATTGGGTGTTAAACTGAAGACAAATGAAAAGTTTCTGTGTGAGTGCACCTGATTGATAACTGATGTTTGCCACAGGCAAGAGATGCTGGACAGAGGACAACCATTTACAAAAGGGACCCATCTAAACAATATGGCTTGAAAATGAAAACCTCACGTGCCTTTTTTAGTGAAGTGGAGAGACGCTTTGATGCCATGCCATTCACTCTCAGGTAATGTAAAGAGCAATGCTGCCATGTTCAAGGACCACTCCGATGTATTAAAAACAGTGCTTACGTTTTGAAGCCTTGTCCTTTTAAGGCCTAGGCCTTACAAAGTTACTTGCCACCAAAGTATCCAGGGGATGTTAATATTACCCAATTTAATGGTACTAATGAGCTATCTGACCAGCCTTCATGATACCACATATAAAGAACTCGAAGTTCTCTGGCAAATGTTAGCATTGGGGTTTCTCTGAGATGGCAATGTTTACTATTTTAGAGAAGAGGGGCAGCTTGTATGCATCAAAACAAATTATTTAATATGTTTTTGGTGCTTATTGTCCCTTTAACTATCAGGATTCCACTCTTCCATTGTAGAGAGTATATAAATTTGTTGTGACTGTATGGATTTAATTGCCATGTCCATGATTTCTAATCCTCCTAAATTCCCATAGGGCATTTGAAGATGAAAAGAAAGCAAGAATGGGTGTGGTAGAATGCGCCAAACATGAGCTGCTCCAGCCATTCAATGTACTCTATGAAAAGGAAGGTGAGGAAATAGTTGAATGTGTTTTAAAGGGAAAGTAAACCATAATTCATGACTTCACTACATTTATTTCTAAATAAAGAGGGAAAAAAACCTGCTTTAATTACCGACAGATTTTAAGATGTGCTATTAGTGAACCCAATAAGGGAATGGATTATTTTTATTTTTAAATTCTTTATTTTTGTTGTGCGAGCTTTACAACCTGCTTGGATAGCCACAACAACTAGGCCAAGCGCATCTGTAACATGTATAACATAAGTATGACATTTGTAATTACTACACATTTGTAAGTGGTGATAGTCAAACATAAAGGAAAAAACTTCAGCTTGTATATTTATGAGGCCGCTACAGATAGGACAAGCGTATCTGTAACATGTATAACGTCAGTATCGCATTTGTAATTACTACACATTAGTGATAGTAAAACATTAGCTTGTAAGCTTATGAAAGAGATTTGTCCGGGAGGTCGGAGACAAGTGTTTAGTAGTGGTAGGCGGTATTGGTCCGCCGCGGGCAGACTGGCATACATAAGTGACACAGCCTAAATATACGTGGTGTATTATGGTGGCCTAACCCTTGGTATGTGTTTGTAGAGGCTGGGTAATGTTAAAGTGAGGGGCGGTCTATATGCGCTGGAGGCACTTAGGAAACATGAGTAAATTAAACATATTGCTGCTTCCCTTAAGAGAGTCCAGGATTGCATCGCTTGGAAAAAAAATTAAAATATAGAGACAAAGGCATAAGAAAGTCTAATGATCGTCTCTTTTGTGTGCCGCCAGTATGCCGTATCCCATATCTCCTCATAGGATTAGGTTATGACCTTTGAGTCTCTCAGGCCCTGCTTAACCTATGCCGTCCAGGGTGTAAGCATAGTCCCGTACCCAGGGGGGATGCTGCCGGCTTTCCCAGCCTACTGGGGCTTGGTAGGGTGGGCCTCTCTGTATATTTGGGTTTCCCCCGGATGAGAGTCTGTGTCCTGGTGTGTTTCCGCCATCGTTGTTGCTGACCGGCAGGCATGGGCTGGGTCAGTGTGGTGTTTGGTTCGGAGCTCGTGGGGCGCTCCCACAGGTGCCGTCTGCTTGGTCGCAGTCTCCCTTTGCGGTTTGATCTGTAGCAGGGGGATCTCGCTGTAGCATCGCGTGTCTTCAGCCGGTATCTGGGGGCTCCAGGGTGACAGGTGAGTAGGCTAATGCGCCTCGGTATGGATACTTTCGGGTTCCAGGGAGCTGCTCTCTTGCTCCTTTTGCTGCCTGACGGATCTCTGGTCACCTGCCTCTTGGTGGGTTCCCGCTGGCTGTTTTTCCATGCGGTCCGATGTTAGAGGGTTCTGCGTGGTCTTCCGTTTGGGTATGCTTGTGAGATTGCACGGCAGGGTGTCAAGACCTTTCTCTGGGGTTTTTGGGGACAGAAGAGCTACCATCTTCTCCCAGAAGGCTTGAAAAGCTTTGTCCAGTCGATTCTCTGCCTCCGTCTGCTCGCCTTGTGTGCTGGTTGAGCACATTGTCTCCGCCATTTTGTGCGCAGTACTGTTGCTTGGATCAGGTCCCGTGGTCGCCGTAGCGCGTTTGCCAGGTTGTGCCGGGTCTCCTGATGTTGGACCGTGATGACCCCCACCGGTCCAGAGGGGGGGGGGACGTGGGCCTCGTTTCGATCTGTCCGCTGTGTATGTCAGCGGGGGAGCGGCCGTCTCCCTCACGCCGATCTCGTGTGCAGGCCCTGCAGGAGGAGTTGCACTGTAAAGGTCGCTTGTCTGGCACCATCCTGTGCCTCTCCCTTTCACCTGGTGGCCTTTTTGAGACGATTAGGTCCCTTTTTATGGCTGGAAACCGTTTAAATCTCGTTATAAAGCAGGAGCTGCTCAGATCAGCGTCTTCTCGCTTCAGCGGTTAGGCCCCGCCCCCCGGGAATGGATCATATTTTACGCTTAAAGATATTTAGTGTGATATAGCATTTGTCATATTACAGTGGTGAATGGAGACAAATGCCTCATTCCGTTTTTTTTCCACTGCACTGGAGGATTCATATTGCATTATTACAGCGTTCAGAGGAACACCATAATCTATTCAATAATATCAGTGGAGTTAGTGTAGATATCTTTCAGCGATCTAGCACTGCTGATTGTACCAGTAGTTGCTGAAGTCTGAGGGAAAAGGAGCTTCACATCATTAATTGCTTTTTATTAGAGAATTCTTGTTACAGACTGTATATGTTCTCACTACTTTTTCTTCGATCTTTTCAGGAGAATTTGTGGCTCAATTTAAATTCACAGTTCTTTTGATGCCCAATGGCCCCATGAGGATAACCAGTGGGCCTTTCGATCTTGATTTATTCAAGTCCGAATTTGAGGTGCAGGATGCGGAGTTAAAGGTTGGTATATAATTTCTATTGATAACATCGCCCTCCCTTTTCTGAATGTTGCTTTTGGAAATTGTAATTCAGAAACAGTGCTTTTTGAGGTTTTTGCATGATGACAATGGGCTAGAGGAGTTGAGCTCAGATTTGAAAGTGTTTGCTTGGTTCTCGTAATTGTCATCAAACTTCTCTACATCCTTTCTAAAATTTGGCTGTATTGTTTATGGTTAAATATAATTGTAAGCTAGATTGCCAGGAACAGTGGAGGGTATCCCCTATAATAAATACATAGGAAAAAAGGAAAGGCAGCCTTGGAAAGTAAATTTTTAAAACATAACGTGCATTAAAATTTCTGATTATAAAACCAGGGTATCTTTAAAAAAAAAAAAAAAAAAATTACCAATGTAAAAAAACAACAAACATAATTGAATGGATGTAACTATCCTGTTATAAATACAGGTTTGGTGTAATTCTAATGGCAGTAGCAGTGAAATCCAGATTTGTAATTTCTACATAAACCAAATAGACACCATATAAAGTTAGTACCAATTTGTATTAATACCAGACGTTTAAGTAACAGGAATAATGGTAGAAAATTAAAGCAGTGTTTCTGAGAAATGGCTATATACACCTTCTAGTGTCAAATGCTTCTTGTGTATAAAGTTTGGATCTGTGGAACATGGCTATGGACTCGCATGTCTTATTTTCATTTTTTTTTTTTTTTAGGCACTTCTGCAAAGTTCAGCCAGCCGGAAGACTCAAAAAAAGAAAAAAAAGAAGGTAATGCCTTTTACAAAGTGAATTCAAGGGTTTTTACTATAAACCCTTTTGAGAAGGGAGACCTTTCCAGTGTAATGTTCCCTATTGAAATTTTTTTTTTTTTTATATTCCTTGGGATACAACCCAAAGTATGGTAGCCGGTGGTTAGAACAGGCACATCATGCTTATCCTATAACTGGCTGCATTTTTTATATATTTTATATTGTATATGCCAAATGAGCATTCCGTTCCTAATATTAAGTACCCCTTTGAGACGAAATATTTTTCTAACTGATTTTGTAAAAATTATTTTAAAGTTAATTAATTTCTGCTTGAAGAGCTACTTGCTAATCTATTTTTTCCATTTGAAGGAGTTGCCAAATTAATAGAAAGTACAGAATGCAATGTGTGTTGATGCATGTGTTTTTTCATGAATTGTGCATGTTGCTGCTACTTTGCCTTTGGTGTTCTTGTTTGTGACTTTGCGTATCTTCAATTTGTATATAACAGGCTTCTAAGAACGCCGAACATGCTGCTGCTGAAGATAATGAAGGCACAGAGTGAGGGAGAATTCCTGCCAAAATGATTGACTTCAACCTGCCAGTTTATTTTTTAGTACTGCGTTACTTTTACTTCTTCCCCCTCCTTCACAAACAAATAATGAAATGAAACTCAGAAAAAAATACCTTTGTTCTGTCCTTATAAAAAAAAAAAAAAAAAAAATTAAAAAAATAAGTCAATCTGGGCTTCCCACAGCACCCTTTTTGGATAAAAACATGGACATTAATGGAAGAGTGTTTTGGAATTCACGTCAGACTACTTTACCAAAAGTATATATATATATATCTATTAAAAACAAAAAAAGTAATTCAGGCATAAAACCAGTCTTTAAGACCATCTTTTTAAGCAAAAAACAGGATTGGAACAAGTCACCTATTTATATTAATACCACTGCTGCCACTATGTCTGCAAAATATTACACTACTTAATTAAACCTGTTCTTGACTGTCCCCATTTGACAAAACAGACAAGGCCTAAACAAAAAAATATTCTCCTGGGTATGTAAGGATTGTATTTTAACTCTGCAATTTTGGACTCCAATATGTAACTAGAAACGTCATTGACACTGGGCAGACAGATCTATAATGCTGGATTTCTGGTCAAACCATGTGTCCTCTGCCTCAGCTACCCTTCTGGCTGTAAGACTGTCGGTTGATTGCGCAAAGCTGAATGTTATAACCACAAGTAGTACATCAGACGGAGTGATGCTGCCCATGAAATAAGTAAATAAATAAATTTGGGGGGGGGGGGGGGTTTTTTTGCTGTGACAGAGTAACAAATCTAGCTTTTTTTTTTTTTTTTTTCTCAATGAGGCTGCTTGTATCTTGTAGTTAACATTGTAATTCCTTCGTAGTCTGAATGAAATCAACATTCATTACAATGTTAATTGCAATGTTAGGACGTTTACTATTTAGCAGTCTTAATAATTTTTTGATCGTATAATCCTTCGACTTTGCTCAAGGAAGGACGCGCATTTGTGTTTTCTGTTTTAATGTGACTTGACACTTGCACTTGTAAGTCCTGGGTCCTCCCATTGTTTCTCTCCCCAATATAAATTTATCTGCTGTACTTCTCACAGATTATTAGTCTTCTAAGATGCCAATTATTACCCTAAAACTTGCCATTGGTTATGCAAGATTTCATTGCAGTTGTCAGTTCTAAAGTAGGTATGACAAGTGGTGGGCTGATGTAACAAGAACCTGTATTTGTAAGAGAGTGCTGGAAAAAGTTGTACTGTATATTGGGAAACCGTTAATCAAATGCATAATTGATTACCGTGGTTGTCTTCTCCAAACACACACAAACAATTCTCAGACTTACGCATGCCATTGTTGTGGTTTGCGAACATGGTTCTGGTTTTGTATATCCAAAAAAAAAAACTACGGAATAATCACATGCACAAATGTTCCATGTTCACTGTATGGTAATAGACCCTCTAGCATTCTACATGTTCTTTGGAAATAGTCAATGAAATGACCCTTTGCTATCGAATCACAAAGAAAGAAATTTACTTCTTTTGGGCATATGTAAAAAGTTGCCTCTGGTCTTTCAAATATGTGCAACAAAGGTTAATATCCAACAGAATAACTTTTTTGAAATAATGTTCTTCACCTCCTATTTACAATTTGTATGTGTGGATTGGGACTGTCTCTTTGCTAGAAGACATGGACTTTATTTTAAATGTGAGCTGTTTGTAAGGGAGGTCCAGGTTTGTCTTCTTTGCAAGAACAGTTATAATATAAGCTTGCACTTCCTTCATTTGATTTTCTTTTTGGATATTATAACCCTTCTGATCCTTGTAGTGAAGATATTGCAGAATGGTTGGTATATCACAGTGGTGACAGCTTTATCCAGTTGCATGTGCAGAAACAAGCATCTATCCAACCCTCAACATTGTGGAAGAGAGAAATATATTTTTATATCATGTTGTTTAAAATGATGTTTTGTTGGGTGTGTCTGTTTTTCTTTTATATCAAAACAATTAATTAATGTTCCGGACACCTTTATAAAAAGGAAACTGGGATTCAGGCACCCAGGGGACTGTTGCTGCAATGTTCACAGATTAACCTCTTCCTTGTGTCATCGAATAAGCTGTGCGCTGCAGGAATTCTTACAAACTGTATGCTCGTAAATGAGGTCCAACTGCCCATTACAGTCTTCAACTACATGTGCATTTGAGTGGCTATATTAACAGATTTGTCTTAGTAGGTCTCTAATTGTCTGGAACAAGAAAGGACAAAGGTTTTACTTCCACTAGAAAGTGTCATTGGGTGACCTTTTTGCATATGTGCACTGTTTACTGTTGGGGGGTGTGAGGATTCGCCCACATATCTTGTTCTTGTCTAGGGACTCTTATAAAGATTGTATACTACTGTATACCATAGGTTGCTTTCATAAGCTTCCCAAATTATAGAGGTGGTACGGCCACTCCCGATATTAAGTGCATTGCCATTGTAAACCAAGATGCGTTAAATCACTGTGACTTCACAAAAGGAACTTTTCGATTTTCTACTTTACTATTTGGAATGTATCTCCCGGTGGGGAAAATGCCTGCAAGTTGTTACAAATGCCCTTGCAATATGTATAATGCCCCTCCCATCAATAAAATGGAAATTCTGACTGGTACTAAATGATTGGTGAGCATTTTTGTACAGTGTAAATTTTAATTAATTCATTTCCCCCCTCATGATTAAATGGATTATGGTTTGCCTGTGTTAACGGTTAGAAAACCTCCAAAATGTAAGGTTAGCTTAGCTGCCGTTATCAAAAATGCAATATTTTATCATTCTCGGGTAAAACGATTTAAAAGTTAAACTAAATTCTATTTGTAGCATACTGCCTGGCAGCTAACATCCCTGTCTATGCAACTTTTGTTAGGGATGTATGAGCTTTTAAAAAAAAAAAATATATATATATATATATATATATATTTGTTTTAACCTCCATATATCTCCAACCATCATAAACAGCCCCTGCTATTTTCAGAAATGCCTGACTCTCTTAAATCATTGCAGCAGAAAGCAAATTTGTTGCAACCATAAGCGTACACTCCAATGTGTTCTTTTGGCTATTTGATTATAGAGAGAGGTTTATTCATAAGCTTTTTATGAAGAACCAGTATTTTGAGTGGCTTGCAAAAGTATTCACCCCCCTTGGCATTTTTTGTGTTTTTGTTGCCTCACAACCTGGAATTAACTTGGATTGTTTGAGGATTTGCATCATTTAATTTACAGAACATGCCCACAACTTTTTTTTTTTACATTGTGAAGCAAACAACAAATAGGACAAAAAACAGAAAAGGTCAATGTGCATAACTATTCACCCCCCTAAAGTCAATACTTTGTAGAGCCACCTTTTGCGGCAATCACAAGTCGCTTTGGTTAAGTCTCTGAGCTTACCACAGGGATTTTTTCCCCATTCCTGCTTGCAAAACTGCTCCAGCTCCTTCATGTTGGATGGTTTGCGCTTGTGAACAGCAATCTTCAAGTCTGGGCACAGATTTTCTATTGGATTGAGGTCTGGGCTTTGACTAGGCCATTCCAACACATTTACATATTTCCCCTTAAACCTCTTGTGTGTTGTTTTAGCAGTGTTTGGGTCATTTTCCTGCTGGAAGGTGAACCTCCGTCCTAGCCTCAAATCACGCACAGAGTGGTACAGGTTTTACTCAAGAATATCCCTGTATTTAGCCCCATCCATCTTTCCCTCAACTCTGCCAGTTTCCCAGTCCCGGCTGCTGAAAAACATCCCCACAGCATGATGCTGCTACCACCATGTTTCACTGTGGGGATGGTGTTCTTTGGGTGATGTGTTGGGTTTACGCCAGACATAGCGTTTTCTTTGATGGCCGAAAAGTTAAATTTTAGTCTCATCAGACAAGAGCATCTTCCTCCATACATTTTAGGAGTCTCCCACATGCCTTTTTGCAAACTCTAAACGTGCCATTTTGTTTTTTTGCTGAAAGTAATGGCTTTCTTCTGGCAACTCTGCCATAAAGCCCAACTCTATGGAGCGTACGGCTTATTGTTGTCCTATGTACAGATACTCCAGTCTCTGCTGTGCAACTCTGCAGCCCCTCCAGGGTTACCTTAGGTCTCTGTGCTGCCTCTCGGATTAATGCCCTCCTTGCCTAGTCTGTGAGTTTTGGTGGGTGGCCCTCTCTTGGCAGGTTTGCTGTTGTGCCATTTGGTTATGATAGATTTGATGGTGGTCCTGGGGATCATCAAAGATTTGGATATTTTTTTTAATAACCTAACCCTGACTTGTACTTCTCCACAACATTGTCCCTTACTTGTTTGGAGAGTTCCTTGATCTTCATGGCAGTGTTTGGTTAGTGGTGCCTCTTGCTTAGGTGTTGCAGCCTCTGGGGCCTTTCAAAAAAGGTGTGTGTATATGTAATGACAGATCATGTGACACTTAGATTGCACACAGGTGGACATCATTTCACTAATTATGTGACTTCTGAAGGTAATTGGTTGCACCAGAGCTTTTTATGGGCTTCATAACAAAGGAGGTGAATACATACGCACATGCCAATTTTTTGTTTTCTATTTCTAAAAAATAGTTTTATGTATATATTTTTCTCATTTCACTTCACCAACTTAGACTATTGTGTTCTGATCCATCACATAAAATTCAGATTAATAAAACATTGAACTTAAGGCTGTAATGTAACAAAATAGGTAAAAAGTCAAGGGGGTGAATACTTTTGCAAGGCACTGTATGTGTCATCTAGATTAAGGGGGAGAGACTCTAGTACATAGTTTAAACTTTAAAACCATGAAATCCACTAAAGGGTAACTCCTAGCACCATTGCCACTAAATAGCCTTGAAGTGGTCATGGTCATGGTGATGATGGAGATGTATCTCCACCTCTTAAATAGTCCATAGGCAGCATGGTACATGTTGCCCTATGAATTCTGTGTATATTGAATGTACGTCTGAAGTAAACACACACACCCTAGGCTGCTCTTGTACTCCCCTCAGCCCTTCCTCTCCTCCAGCAAGCGGGAGTGGTGGAGGATCTGATTTTCACAGGAACGTAGCCCTGGTGCTAGAACAGATGTAATTGTATATTATGCTAAAATAGGGAAAAGACTCACCTCTCGTCATTTCCAAAATTAAGATTGTAAGTGCATTACATTAAGCATAATCTACAATTACATCTGTTTTAGCACTGGAATCAGATACATTTTACCACATGAAAGGAGGCTTCATAGTTTGCATTTATAACGCTGTGGAAGTAGGGCAAATGAAGCACTGGAAGGACATACTTTACTTTTTTATCTTCCTGCGACCTGTCCGTGCAGCGCATAATGTCAACAAGAGAGGCACCTGCCGAAAAAGTCGGCAATGCTGCTACACCCTGTATGAAATGAGCACCAAAATGTTGGTATCGAGTGAAGCCATCTCGCAAGAGCAGTAAAGGGATCGGAATCCCTCTCCAAACACCAACCACTCCATGAGAGAGAACTTTGTCTGGTAGCCTGAGACTAAGAGGTCCTTGGTTGCGTGCGATAGGCTGTCGACTGACCCGGATCCACTGAAAACATCGTTCTTGAAGGATATGGGGATGTGATTCTCCGTGGGAACTATCCAGGAGTAGAGGGGATGATAGCAGGAGGCGTGGATGGTCTCAGGACAATTCTAACAGATCAGAAAACCTTGTCTGGCTCAGACAAAGGAGAGCAATGTGCAGGAGAGCGATCCCTTCCATGTGAACTTGAGATGGCCTGGGGGAATATGTCCACCTCTTCGCTCTTTGGGTCCAGAAGCCAGATAAAGAATCTCAGGAACTGACAATTGGCTCATGAGTCAAAAAGATCCAGGTGTACAGGATCTACATTTGAGCAGTAAGCTGAAGACTGTTTCATCCAGACGCCAACTGATGCTGTAACTCCAGTGACTAGAGTACCAATCCGCCGTGAGATTGGTGATTTCCAAAAGGTATTCTGCCCGTAGAGTGATATTGTGAGATAACCAAAAACTGTAGATTTCCTTCTTCGTCTTGCCTGTTTTATATACGAATATATGAACTGCAGAAACGTTGCCCAAGCGTAATAGAATGCATCAATCCAACACGTTCTTGGCCAGACTCAGGATGGCGAAGGAATTGGTGATCAGTTCCAGGCAATTGATATGTAGGCTGGTTTCCTCATCCAACCATGGCTCCTCTAGTGGTGGAAGTCACACAATCCGGCCCCAAAGGCTGGTTTCCACTATGAAATCTGGTAAGGGACCAAATATAGCCTTGCCCTTCCAGGTCAGCATATGGAGGAGCCATCAGCTGTGTTCTGTCTACCTTAGGAAAGAGGAGCACCAACTAGGTCATAGGAGAGGCCCGACCGCAGGTAACGTGCTTGCAGCCGCTGTATGGTCTGGTGGTGTTGATATTAGGGATCGACTGCTTATCGGTCTGGCCAATATTCTGTATTTTCAGCGATATTGGTACCGGCCAATAAAGATACCGATAATGCAGATTAGGGCCGCGGTGGGGGCCCAGCACACTCTTACTTTTCTTCGCAGCAGCTCCCCGTCTAAATCTCGTGAGTCCCACGGCTGTCAGAGTGTTACCACGCAGGCTGCGAGAGTTAGACAGGGGAGCTGCTGGAAAGTGTGCTGGTCCCCCTCTGCACAGTCCATGCCACCGGGCCACCAGGGAATGCCATATCCCCCCTCCCTGGCCAGGTAAGAAGCAGAGAGAGGGGGACTGAAACAATTTTAAAAAATTAAATATTTGGAAAAAAAAATGACCCCGCCATTTTACACAATTAACATACCTACACAAACATTCACTGCACAAACTCAAACTCTGCATTCATTATATACACTACATAAACACTCTGCATTCATTATATACACACACTAAACAAATACACTGTTTAGTTTTGGGTTTTTTAAACACAACAGAGTGGAGCTGAGTCTGAGGAGTCATGTCAACTGGCATGGGAGATGGCACCAACGAAACCGTAGGAAACATTAACAAGATGGAGCAATCGACACTGAAAGGTAAGCATCCTTGAAGTCGAGGCGAGTGAAACAGTTGTCCTAAAGGAGTAGATCACATAGCAGATGTATGCCTTTCATTTTGAAATGTTGTACCACAAACGAGAGTATAACTAGTCGAAAGTCTGTTTTCTTCTGAACCAGAAAGATGTTGGTGAAGATACCGTCATCCTGTGCATATTGAACAGCGACTGGATCTATTAGTTGATGAGGGACTCCCTGAAAACACATAGCGGAAGAGGAGGGTACACCTGTCCTCGGGGAGAACAGAATTCTCTGACGTAACCTTGAACTGTCTGAAGAATGCAGGCATCTGAGGATATAGTTCCCCAGTTTTGTAAGAAAAAGGACAACCTGCATGCAGTGAAAGTTGTTTAACAGCACTGTAAAAGTGGACCCACCTGTGGGGAGACATCCTCTGGTTTTATTCACGCCTCTGTAGAAGGAGGTAGTCCAAGTGGACCTTGTTAAAACCACCTACAAGTATTCTAATATAAAAGCAGTAGGGAATCCTAGTCTCAAAAACAAATCTCACAGATGGAGTAAAAGAACATAAAGTCTGTGAATTGGAATGGAATCCGGTGTGTGTTCTTAAAATTATCTACAACAAAGTATCCACAAGTGCCTCAAAGGACCTGTTAAATGTAATCGTATCCAAATTTACTGAAGAAGTGAAACACAATTCTAGAGTAATAAGAGCAAAAAAAAAAAACAGAAGCTTGCTCAAACAGTTAGCCTACCACTGCTGGTGTTAATTGGATATTTGATGCAATATCAGTAATGGAAGATGTGCAGTGTTGCAGAAAACACAGGAATGCTACTTCGCATTCAGAATGTACGCTTGCGATTCCTTGTGAACAGTGCTCAAATCTTCACCAGAAATTCATCATGTGTCAGAGCTCCTCAAATGATTTAAAGAATTAAGCTACAAAACTCGAGATTTTGAGAGATTAAATGCTTGGTAATAGGTAATTGCAGATTATACCACCCATTGATGACTGTAACTGCATGCATGGTGTTATTGTAATAATTGGTACATGTTCTGATATCCTTGGGTGTCCACGCTGATGGAGAGCTGTGCTCTTGTGGGCCTGGAGGGGCAGAGAAGCAGCAAATCTCTGCTTGTGGCCCATGCTGCTGTTTGGTGCCCTGTTTTCCTCCCCATGTGGACAGGTGCGTGTGATCCTAGTCTAATCCCTGGAGGCTCCATTACTAAGCTGAGGGTACGTGGCATTACTGCAGCATAAGTAACAGGCGCACAAGATGGTGAATGCTGCATGCTCCTCCGATCTCTTCAGAGGAAAATGTGGATGTCCTACATCATCTGTACAAACTTTTCAAGTCCTTTTGGCCAGTGATGGATGTTCAATTGCGACCCGTGGCAACGAGTAACACAACTAGCAGCCTACCTGAGAGTCATTGGTACGAGGCTGTGCAGAGGGCGTTTATGGGACTGCATTATGCAACAGCGCTGTGAGAAAAACAACATGGGGCCAGCTGTGTAAGACTCTTTGAGGGTCCGCAGAACAGCGGAGCTATAACTCAAAGCGACCCTTCAAGGTTTGATTGTTTGCCACACGGTGATCATATCCCTCTATACCCTGGACTGTTGGGCCTGGCACTGAGGCTTTCATGGCAGGATTATGTTCAGTCTTTGCAGGGAATCAGCTTATTTCAGTTATGATCCCAGGACAGGAATGAAGGACACCCCAGGGTCTATTTAGATTTCTGGGGTCTCCTCCATCCCTGGTGCAAGTTCAGAATTACCGTGGCTGAGCGTAATCGTGATTTAAAGGGCAATATGCCACACTCATTTTTTGAATCCTATTGTTGCTTCTGATGTTCTCACCCATTGAGCAGCTGTTTTGCTTTTTCCCTATCTACATGCAGGGTGCTCACTCCTGGCCTAATTGGGGGGTTTCCTAGGGGTTTCACTCTTTGCTAAAGCTACTTGACATCTTTTACAGTCATTCACTGTTCAATTTTTACAACTTCCTCTCCGTCCATATGCCCTGCTTACTTATTTGTCTTTCGTTCTCCAAACCTAGCACTGTGTTAACTTGGTCTTGATTTAAACAAGTGATGTTCCCTATATCTACATTGTTTGATGGATATATGTATTTTTATTACTGACTTGTCTGAGATGTTATCCTTAATATTGCATATTCACATCAAAAATAAAGCATTAAATAAATACTTGGTACTAGTCCTTGATTAAATAGGGTAAAACAAATCCATCTGGTTGCAGTGTGCGATCCACCATGGAATTCTAGAACTTCCTCTGGTTAATTTGCGCCATATTCGCGCCTACAGCCGACCTCAGTTTTCTGGTGGTACACACATCCCATACGTGATCAGGGAGACCACCCTCTAATGCTGTCGCTCCTGCAGTGCTTAATAACTGGGCAGAGTTACATGCAAGGACACCTGACCAGGGTCTATTTACACCCTGTTCCAAATTATTATGCAAATTCTATTTAAGTGTCACAAAGATTAAATATTTTGTTTTTCAGTTTAACTCATGGATGGCATTGTGTCTCAGGGCTCTTTTGATCACTGAAAACAATCTTGGACACCTGTGATAATTAGATTGCCAGGTGAGCCCAATTTAAGGAAAAACTACTAAAGGAGGGTGTTCCACATTATTAAGCAGAGCACCATTTTCATGCAATATGGGGAAGAAAAAGGATCTCTCTGCTGCCGAAAAGAGTGAAATAGTTCAATGCCTTGGACGAGTTATGAAAACATTAGATAGTTCACGAAAACTTAAGCGTGATCATCGCACTGTTAAGAGATTTGTGGCTGATTCAGAGCACAGATGGGTTCGTGCAGATAAAGGCACATTGAGGAAGATTTCTGCCAGATCCATGCATCAGATCAAGAGAGCAGCTGCTAAAATACCATTACATAGCAGCAAACAGATATTTGAAGCTGCTGATGCCTCTGGAGTCCCACGGACATCAAGGTGTAGAGTCCTCCAGAGTCTTGCAACTGTGCATAAACCTTCTATTCGGCCACTACTAACCAATGCTCACAAGCAGAAACGGCTGCATTGTGCAGAAAAATACATGAAGACTAATTTTCAACCAGTCCTGTTCACTGATGAGTGCCGTGCAACCCTGAATGGTCCAGATGGATGGAGTAGTGGATGGTTGGTGGACGGCCACCCTGTTCCAACAAGGCTGCGGCGTCAGCAAGGCGGTGATGGAGTCATGTTTTGGGCCGGAATCATGGGTAGAGAGCTGGTCGGCCCCCTTTAGGGTCCCCGAAGGTGTAAAGATGACCTCTGCAAAGTATGTGAAGTTTCTGATTGACCACTTTCTTCCCTGGTACAGAAGGAAGAACTATGCTTTCCATAATAAAATCATCTTCATGCATGACAATGCACCATCTCATGCTGCAAAGAATACCTCTGCATCAATGGCTGTTACGGGGATAAAAGGAGAGAAAGTCATGGTGTGGCCTCCATCCTCCCCTGACCTCAATCCTATTGAGAAACTTTGGAGCATCCTCAAGCAAAAGATCTATGAGGGTGGGAGGCAGTTTACATCCAAACAGCAGCTCTGGGAGGCTATTCTGACATTTTGCAAACAAATTCAAGCAGAAACTGTCCAAAAACCTCACAAGTTCAATGGATGCAAGACTTGTGAAGCTGTTATCAAATAAGGGGTCCTATGTTAAAATGTAACGTGACCTGTTAAAATGTTGTTATAAGTTTGATTGAAATAACTTTTGATTTCAGTAAATATGCTGCCAACACAAGAAATTACAAATTTAGTTCTTTACAACCTATAAAGTGTTTTGAAACTTACTGTGCGTAATAATTTAGAACAGTGCATTGTAAGTTTTTTATGTTTTTTTAAAAATACTGTTATTAGGAGGTTTGTTCAATAAAATTTGAATTGTACTCTTAATAGTTGATAACATAAGAATTATGCTGACTGTTATTTACATAAATTATTTAGGTAAATGAGAAAAATATAATTTGCATAATAATTTGGAACAGGTTGTAGACTCCTGGGTGTCCTCCATCCCTAGTGCAAGTTAAGAATTACCGTGGCTGAGCATAATCGTAATTTAAAGGGCTCATTTTTTTTATTTGCAGTATGAATGCATACATTAATACTGACATAAATACAATTAAAGACAAAGATGAACAAATACATAGACGTACAAATCTTAACCTGACATTTAAACAGTGGTAGGGTCTCGGGTTGGGAGGAACAGTCCTAGAGCTCAGTATCATGTGCTGGTATCCTATTTAGTCATCGGTACTTTGTTAGAATTAAGATTTTAAGGATTCTTAGATATAGTGCATATTTTATATATTAAAAAAACAGGTTTTCGGGGGGGCGGAGCCAAGTTACGAGACCAGACGTGTTGCATGAGCTCTCGCGTCTGGCACCCAATAATCGGGGGAAATGGCCGAGCTAAAACTCACCTGGACGTAGAGCTATATCAAGCTTGTTACTGAGACACCGGCGATTCTGAAGACACCTTCAGTAGGGCTCTCTGACACCGGGAAGCCCGACTCGAAGTTTTGTGACCTACCAGCGACAGGGCTGAGGAGAGACGGCCGCTCTCCTACTGCTTCGACTGGCGGTGAGGAGACTAACAAGTGCTGTCCCCTCCCCCCATGGACCATTGGGGGTTATCCCGGTCCCACCTGGCTAGCCCCCACATGCCCACACGACAATCTGGCGACTGATACAGGTCACATGGAGCACCCGACAGATATTCCCAGAATGGAGGATGTGCTCTCTATACAGAGGCTGGAGATGCACAGGCCGGAGACGGTCCTACCAAGCTCGGTGGATCACATACTGCAACGCCTGGACGAGGCGTTCCAGAGATTCAGGCAAAGGCTGGAGGCTAGGATGTCGACCCCGCATGCCCAGCACCAGGGAAGTGAGCGCAAGGGTGAGAGCCGTGGAGAGCCTGGGCCCCCTCAGGGCAAAGCACCTTCACAAGCAACGGTGAAACCTAAGCCTGGCACACCTGGGTTGAGGGCCACCCCGGCTACGGCCGTAAAGCATCGACCACGTCGGCGGAGATTAGACAACCACAAGCGGCGGCAGACCACTCGAGGCCCCCGCCATCTCCCAATAGGGAGGGACTTGGAGCACCACGTTGTTAGGGTCCTTGGAACCCAGATGCGGACCCCCTCTCAGACACAGTGAGGTGCCGGCGATACCCTGGCACACCCTACTCAAGCTGCATTGCCTGGAGTGTCCCCCACTTTATCGAGCCAAGGCATTGGCTAACGTAGACAAGTTATCCTGAGAACATCACCATCATCTCTCAGGGACACTGTTCAGAGACACATCTCTATAAGCTACAGCGGCTGCCACAGTTATCCGTTGCCCCCATTTAAAATCAGGCTGATGTTACTACAGATCAAAAGCTATTACTGTTGTTTCTGAATGCATGCTTTCATGTGACCCCATTCCACGCTACGCTGAGGGTGCTCAGGGGTTAATTCCATGATTAACACTGCACAGGCACATCTAGCCAACTTACTGGATGACACATACCATACTCCAGCAGAGTTTTATATTTTATACTCCATACAATCTATTGTTGCCTAAGCTAATAGAAAACCATCACGTTACTAACCTGAACGGGGGTGTTAATTAATGAAGACCAGGAAAAGGCAGGAATTTTAAATAACTATTTCTCCTCCGTATATATTAAGGAAGAACCCATGGCAATAGATGTACAAATGATTGCTACTAAAAACTTGCAGAATAATTGTAATTGGTTAACTCAAGACAAGGTGCTGCAGCAACTAAAGAAAGTTAATATAAACAAAGCTCCAGGGCCTGGCGGCAGTGGCGTACATACCAGGGTCGCAGGGGTCGCGGCTGCAACCGGGGCCGGCCGCACCTGCGACCCGGTA